GAGAAGTCCGAAATAGGAATTTCGATTTGGGATATCCCAAGTTTAACTTGGGACATGGTGACGTTTGGGCTACAACACTACCAGCCTATTCTTTCAATAGGTTTATAATTTTACTTATTGATTTTTCTATTTATTTACTTCATCATCATCATTTTTTCATTATCATCATCATTTTCATCAACATCATTTTCTTTATTTCTCTATAATTTTCAGCTAAATGATTTGAACTAATTACCATATACTTCCGAAATTAAGCACCCTTTTACTATGGGAGTGCTTAATTTCGAATGGTTTTTTAAAAAAAATTTCTCTTCATAATTGCGTCGCCAAAATGATATTTGAAACTGTGCAAAATGATTATTCTGTATAACCAAATAGTCCATGCAACCAAATAATCTTGTGTAACTAAATAATTTATTTCATAACATGAAACACGTTTCAGTAACCTTCTCACAAAAAATGACAAGAACACGCAAATTTAATATAAGTATCAAACGTAATCATGCTTCATATTCTATTATTCAAAAGAATCAAGTAATTACTTACGCTAAGCAGCATAGATAAAACAAAGCAGCAGATCATTTTCAATTTGATGCTAGTATGGTAAGTCATTAGCTAAAAGCAAGTGAAAATTAGAATACTGAAATAAAACAAGACAGCAAACAAATTGGCTCAGGTCGAAAAGCCTTTTATCCTGAGGCTGAAGGTAAGTTGTATACTTGGATCATTAAGCAAAGAAAACAAGCATTAACAGTCACTTATACGATCTTACGAGTTAAAATGTAAGAAATTATAGAAACGCCTGAAATGGTAAATTTGTATGGAGATTTGGCAAAAGATTTTAGAATGTCAGATCGATGGTTGTCCTGTTTTCTGAAAAGATATAAACTATCTTGGAGGAGATATACAAAAATTTTTCAAAGGCTTCTGAGTCAAACGAAAAAATTGTTAGCCAAATTCCATCAATTTATTACTCGTCTGAGAACTGAAAAATTCTTTGAATTGGTTAACATTCTTAATATAAACGAAATGCTGGTATGGTTCGATATGGCGTGTAATTTTACTGTCAATTCAAAGGGGGAGAAAATAGTTTGTATTCGTAGTACTGGCAATAATAAAACCCGATTTACAGTGATTTTGACGTGTACAGCAAATAGGTCACGGTAAATGGTTTTTAAGTTCATCATATGAAATTAAATTTAACAAGTTCTATTCTAAGCAAGTTTTTTTTAAGCTTTAATTCCGATTTTAAGTTAAAGTATCATAATAGTTTTGTGATTCCATTTCTAAGATTTTATGATTCTAATTTTAGATTTTATTATAAATCTACACAAATCTTTAGCAGTTTTAAGCTTATAGTTCCAATTTTCATACTTATGGTAATTTTTAGGCTTATAGCTCTGATTTTTTAGGCTTATGGTTCTAATTTTTAGGCTTATGATTCTGATTTTTAATTAGAGGGTTTGATGTGTTTAAGGATATTTCAAACATATTTTTTTTTTAATTTCAACAATTCATTTGATTTTCAATAATATTTCAAAAATATTCTTGATTTTCAAATTTTTTATTTTGTTTTATTTAACATTAAATTTTTTTTTACTGTAGATAGTATAAAGTTTCCTCCGATTTGCATTTTTAAAGGGAAGCAATTACAAAAAGGTGAAAATATACCTATCAGTATATTTGTTTAGTTTCAAAAAATGGTTGAATGGATTCCAAATTGATAAAACAGTATGGGTATTATCTTAAAGATGTCAAAGTGGTTGATAGATCCAGGGCTCTGATGTTAATAGTTTACGATTCTTTTCGTGAACACCTAAAGAAATCAGTAAAACAGAAATTTCACGATTGCGAATTTGATTTAGCTATTATACCAGGTAGATTGACAAGTTTATATTAACCACTCAACGTTGCTATAAATAAACCGTTTAAAAATAACTTACGTAAGGAATGGCATCTTTGGATAGCTGCTAGTAATGCCAGACAGATAGCTGCAGGTAATTTTCGATGAGCTAAACTTGAAGACGTATGTGGATAGGTAAAACGTTCTTGGAAAGGAATCTCTACTAAAGTTATCATAGATTCTTTCAAGACTTGTGGCATTTCCAATACGTTAGATGATATAGGGGATTCTGATAAAGAAATTGAGAGTGATTTAGAAATTACTAATATTAGTAATTTGGAAAATGATGTTAGCGATTTTGAGAATAATGTGAGTTATGATAATTTAAAAGATAATTAATGTTAGTAATGATATAAATGAATAAATAAAATTGCATTTTTCTTTGTTGAACCATTAATTTCACATGATAATACTTTAAAAATAAAAAAAACCATTAATTTTATTTTTTCAAGAGGTGCTTATTTTTAGCATATTCATAAATTTGGGGTGATTAATTTCGGAAGTATATAGTAACCTTGATACTTGATTTAATTTAGTATTCGATTTGTAATTTTTTGGAAAATTTGCTAAAATAGTCTTTTATTATTTAAGATATTTTTAACCTTGTCAATCAAGTCATAATATATTGATTATAAATTATATTTAAATTTTTGAGAAAAATCCATTTTATATAAATAAATTCTATTAGCTTTACTTAATTCTAACAGTTATAATTTATTATAAATCTTATATTTTGTATTTAATTCATATACTCTAAAGTAACATTTTTTTTTTGTACTTATTTATTTATTAAAATCACATTAATAATATTTAAAAAATAATAGTTTATTATAATTCAAAACAGATTTGACACAAATTCAGTGCCAATTTGTTACATTTTTGAGTAGAATAGGTATTATGACAAATATAATGAACGAGATATAGAAGTTCTTTGAAATTAGATTTAAATTATATTACAAGTTTTGTATTATTTATGATTAGCTAATTATATATCACGTGATTTTGTGTTTTGTATTTTTATTTATCACACATAATAATCAATTTCAATAATTTAAAATCCTATTAATAAAAAAATAATATGAAAACTGTGTTTTTAGTTTTTTTTAGAAAATTTTAACATTTTTTTTAAATATCATCAATAAATTTTATATTTTAAAATGTATATTTATAATAAAAATATAACTTTACTTGTTAGCATTGCATTTTCTATTAACATTTTCAAATATGAGATTAGTGTTATAAAAAAGATAAAATTGAAATTTATTTCTAAGTAAAATAGATATAACTTTTATTGTTGATCTAGAACTTTAATTATTTTTAAAAATGTTTTTTTTTACAATTTAATCCCTTTTTGCCAGTGATGGCAAGTGACTTGAAATGACCCAAATGATTTTGATGACTTGTCTCTAGTCATTAAGTCACTTTAAAAGTTAAATAACCAATGACTTAAGTTATTTTATAATATACTGTAGATGTTAAAACAAAATATATCAAAACTTCAAATAAAATATTATTTTACATAATTAAATAAAATTATCTAATAGATCTTTAAATGTTTCTGAATTACTTATAAAATTAAATTTTAAAAAAAATTCTTGTGAATTTTATTTGGTAATATTAATATATTTTATAGATTAGTTATTATCTGTATTGCGATGTTAATTTGAAAATCAACTTAATTAAACCAGTTTGACGGTTGTCAAATTTATTTATTTTTTTTATTGATTTTAATTTAAACTAGGGATGTTAAACAGTCCTAAAAGATTATAAACAAATTATGAAATTACGAGTTATAGAAAAGTCTAATCGCTTATTTGTAATAAGTAACTCTTAATAAAAAATTGTTATAATTAATTTTATGAATAACTTTTAAATGAAATATGACCTTTGAAATTGACAATTTTTATGGGACCACCAAGGTGGGACCCGGACTTTAGGACTGGGTCCTAAGTTTCAAAATTAAGATTCTGGATTTTCGCATAAGTTTAATATATATTTTTAATAAATATTCAATTAATACATCGTCTTTAAAAAGTAAAATATATCACCAGCAAAATAAAATTCTTCTCTAGAATTGGCAAATTTATTGGGACTTTTAGGATCATTTAGAACCGTTTAATATCCCTAATTTAACATAAAACCAGTTTTAAAAATAACAAATAATACCAGTTTTAATAATATTGATAAAAATTAAATAATTAATTATAACTTTATTTATTATGATAACTTTATTAAAAGTTTAATTTTATTTTTTATTTTATCCCAAAAAATTATTTAATAATTCATTAAAGAACTAAGATAAATTGGAGCTTCTAACAAATCATTGAATAAATCTAATAAATTCCATTTTGCTAATGGATCATCTGCTACATGTATAACACAACCAACTAATTCAAATTAAAGTGGTTCTTCATTAATATCTTCACTATTATCTAAATGGTTTTTAATATCCAATATTTTAATCCAATTTTTTTCTACTTGTAATCAATTATAAATCTCACTAGTATTATTGTTATTATCATCATTTTCAATAATAATTGATGCATCTATTTTCTCATTTTCATCATCACTTATATTAATTAAACAAGAATCTTGTTTCTCTTCATCATTATTTGATTGTATTGGAACAGCAATATGAACTCGTTTATATTATTGTTTAGACTTTTCAATTTCTTCTCTTTTTTTTTAATATATCACTTCATAATTGACTCATTGCTAATACCTTTTCATGCTAAAGATTTTAAAAAAAGTTAAAAATTAGATAAAATATAATATATAATATAATATAATAAATAGAAATATTTACTTTTAGATGATTTCAACGCTTTGTATGTAAAAATCCCATACTTGACCAAAGTAGTTTAACTGAAGCTGAATTAACACAAATGCTAAATAAATGCAAAGCCAATTGAGAAAGTTCTAGTGCAAAACCCTTTGCAGAATCCCAAAAATTTATTATATTTTCATTAAATTAACTATATGTATTATTATCAAAAGGATATATTTCTCTTTGATAAAATAAATATTCACGTAAAATACTCTTTAATAATTCATTAAACTATATTTGATAATAATAACCCAACCATTATCCAAAATGTGCATAAGAAAGATTTGAAATATTAGAAGAAAATTTTGAAAGTCTATATTTTGGATGTAAAACAAATGATAATAAAAGAAGAGGTTATTCTCATTGAACCTAACGAATTATTAATTGTGCTACTATTTGTTTAGAAAAAGATATATTATTATGATTTATAAAAATATTAATAATCTAACCAAAATAATGGATAATTTCATGTAAGCACGTAATATCTTTTTATAATTTATTTAATACACCACATAATGGTAATAATAAATTTTGTAATTTATAAAGTTGTGATAAAAAATCAGAATCACTTATTATTGCTATAATATCAGGTGAAAGTACTTTATTAATATTTTTTAAAAAGTTCTTTGACGTAAAAATCCACTTCTTGAAATACTAGCTGATCTAACTCTTTCTGGAAAAAACTTTGTAACTAATGTCTAAATTAAAATAATTAAAACAAATTAGATTAAAATTTTAAAACTTTAAAACTTTAAATTAAAAAAAATAATTACTTTAAGTGCAGCTTCTGTTTTTAATACAGAATGAAAACAAAAATAAAAACTATTCCAACGAGTTTTACCTGGAATAGTGATACCTGACTAAACTCTTTTTTGAAAAATTGAAATTTTGTCAAAAGTTTTGGTCTCTTTAATATTTTTATATGAATAAATATAAAATTATTATATTTTTTAATGTATTTTAATTCAAGAAATTTAGATCAAGTTAAATATAATTTCAGCAATTAAGTAAAATAATTTCATCATTAATAAAAAACTAGTTTCGTTATTTCAGTTTCGTCAATTCGTCATATTAAGAAAGGTAATTTCATTAGGTATCACTAACCTGGAATAATAAGTGAAATAGTTTAATTATAATATGATCTTAGCTGTTTTCTTAATACACCAGTAAAATATGGTGATGAATGAAAATAGCATGCATAGCTTTTTTAGATGTTATTCTATAAGTCTTAGATTCTTTAAAAATATCTTCAACAATTAAGTTCATTTGATGAGCCATGCAGAGTATAAAAATCTTATTAGGATACTCTATTCTAAGTTGTCGTCTATTAAATTATAATTATAATTAATATTTTAATCATTTTAATTTAATAAAATATAAATGTTATATAATTTTTACCTTGCAACAGCATATTCACTAGCAGAATCAGAAACATAACAATTAATTTGAACACTTTTTTATTCAGCATCATTCATTATATTTTTAATGAGAATTTTTACATTTTCAGTTCTTGATTATTGATCACTAATAACATGTGCTCTTCAAATTAAAGGTTTGTCTTGAAAAGTAATAAAAATAACTCCAAAAAAATGCTCCTGTTTAATATTAGTCTAACTATCAAAAGCTGCTATTACTTTAATTTTATTATTGGATACAACTTGTAAAATTGATTTTGTTAATTCATTTGCAGAATTTGGAAGTATTCTATCACTTATTGCTTGTCGTCCAGAAAGTTTTAATGTAGGTAAAATAACATCTTGAGTTTCCTTATTCTCTATAAATATAAAAGGAAGGCCATTTGAAATTATCATAAACAATACTAAATTTTCAAAATGTTGATATCTTTTGTTGATAAAGGGTGTGATATATAATTAGTAAGAATCGTTTGTTTAATAGCAGTTGTAAAAGGATTAGGTGATGGATCGGTATTTGTAGTTTTAGGAAATATAATAGAATTATTATTAATTTTGGAAACTTTCATAATATCTTTTTGTCAAAAAGGTTTTTTTCATCCTTTGATACATAACGTAAAAGAATTTCTTTTCTTTTATCTTCATTATACCCCTGCTCAAAATTTGAACATTTCTTTAAGTATGCTCAGCATAATTTTGCTTTATTAGAAACAAAATAATCAGGTCTTGTAATTGCAATAGATAATATATACTTTCGTATACATGAAAACAAATAGCCTTTTTATTCACCTTTAGATTATTTGATTTAGTTAAAAAAACTCATAATAATTATGTTCTTTACACATTATTTTCCCACTTAATATAAACTTAGTCCAAAAAAAGTTTGATTCAAAAATAAAGTTCAAAAAAAAAGATCAGATTTCTGATAAAAAAATTTTTAGCGTTAATAAATATGTAGATCATATTGTGACTGATCATTTTGAAGTAAATTCAATAATAATTTTAGTAATTATACTTGTAAGAATTTTTTTTATTTCAATTAAAATTATAAACAAATGATTAAATGACCCAAGTTTTTTCAAATGACAAAATGACCTAGGTTATTGAGTCATGAGTCATTTGCAAATTACTTGATTTTTAAATGACACGGAATGACCAGTCATTTTGGCATGACTTCGGGTCATTTGAAAATTAGTTAAATGATCTGGTCATTTGCCATTACTGCTTTTTGCAGCATTCACTTCATATGTATTAATTTATATTACATAATTAATCACATAATTAATAATATAAAAAATTGAATCCATTTTTTATATTGCAATTATCAATTCATTAG